CTCAGTCGCGTTGGGTAAAATCACGATAAATATTTTTTATAACCTGGATTGGCAGATTAGATACGTTTTATCACGGTAAATAACATAAACCGGAACAAACATCTGATTTCATAAATACGACAGTGTGTTCGCTAATATGAATCGACTGATAATTTATAAACCCGAGTGTAACACAAAAACTTTATTATCTAGAGAATATGTGATAAGTCTCATTCATTCTGAATTAAAAATTTAACGCAGGTAAAGCTGCGCCGGCTATCCTCGATCTACGCTGGTTCTGACCCAGCGGGGTATTCCGTGGGATAACCCATTCTAACCGGTGTCATCTAGGCGAACTTCGGATAGCCTGCCGACCTAGAGGGCTAGTGGTCGTGGCGCCAACGACCGCCAGTCCGGCGTCCCGAGGGGGAGAGTGATGGGAGAGATGTGCTGCGCAATAAACGCTTCACTTTCCCCCCTTAGCTTTTTCATAAGTTCTGCCTCATGCGAAGTTCGGACGTGGGTTATTGAGTGACAGGAGGTTTCTAGTCGGTTCGGCTTCGACATGCCTCGCCGGCCATCCCCAGGGGCCCCATTTCCGCCTGACCAAAAAAAAAAAGATAAAATTGCGCGATACGTTTCAAACTTAATATTTGGGATAAATTTGATAGACTTAAATATTTTCCGACTACCTAAAATTAAACAATTTTACATCTAAATGGACCCATTTATATGTAAATTTGTATAATTTTAGGTAGTCGGAAAATTAGAATCAATTAGATTCCCGTAAAAGTATCCAATTATTATAAGTGAACATACATTATTTTAGTCTTTTGCATATTAAGGTAAAATTATTTCAATGTTCACTTTTATTCTGAGTAGAGAAGAAAATAAGAATAATTGTTTTAATAAAAAATAGATATTTAACGATGATGTGAAAGTAGGCATAAGTTATTTTTCGGAGGTAAATTTTTTTTTTTAAACTCTCATGACATTGTCACATATTTGTAAGCTTTTGGTTACAAGCGATACTAGAATATAAAAGATTGTGTAACAGAGATTTGCGGTATATATTCAGGGAGAAAGGGAAAGTTTATCTTGGAATTACGTGCTAAAAATACCATTCTAAAATCAGGGTTGGTCTTAGCGAAAGACGAGGCCGTGACGTTCAAGTCGATTATTTCGATTGTTAAAACATCCCGATAATTCGGGATGATCTTCTCTTGTAGTCGAGTTGGAGTTTTTAAAGAATTACGATTGCAATGTTTCAAATTTGAATACCGAATACACGGATCGATGTTCGCAAAGGTATGTATTTAAATAATCGAGATACGATACGTTTTTCCTTTTTTCTTATAATGTAAATATTTTTATTTATTAAAAAAAAAAAATTGAGAAAAAACATAAAAAGCCCGCTGAGTTTGTTTCGCCGGTTCTTCTCAGGGCTGTGGCTTTTTTTGGAACCGGTGGTAGAGTTAACATTGTTATTTATATTTTGACATTCAACAAGTGTGTCATCATACTGACATCTAAGTTGAAATAAATGATTTTGAATTTGAACTGTTCGCGCTACGATAACTCTGACGAGTGATACAACTGAATCGATTTACGATATTATTTCGAATATCTGAACATCTCGGATTTGGCCATCGCTAGTTCATCTTACTAAACGCAACGACCGAATTTACAATTTATTTACAATCGTTTCAAATAAATTGGATTAGAAGGGTTAACGCAAACAGAGAACCGAAACGTCCATGTTTACGATATCGGTTATCCGTGTGTTCACCAACTGTTTGCATGAATAAAAGTCCTGAGCAAACCGTAAAAAGCCGATGGTAACAATAACAATTTATGAACTTCACGATTTTTTTTTTTTTTTCATAAACAAACATAGTCCGCGTTTTGGGATGTGCTGAAAGTTTACATCCTGTTTCATTGATGGCCTTTTTTATTTCTAGAATAAACCCCAGATATACTAGCCACATCAATTCTGAACATAATTGTGATTAGTCCAGTGGTATTAGATTTAATTAGTCAGACATAATTATTATGATTATTATATCATTATGATCATTATGATTACTATAATTATTTACAATAAATAAATGCTATTACCGCTGTATCCCCGTATAAATACCGGCTTTGGCAGTGTTAGTGCGTATTGTGGGTTCACTCGGGTAAATGCCATCATAACTATTTCTGCCGCGAAGCGACCGCAGAAGTCCGATTTGAAGAATGGGACCATCGTTACAAACTACTTCGACTTGTGGAGTCAAGGTTAGTTGCGTCGTTCATTTCGCGATGTCTGTAGGAAGTTCAGTAACCATTTAAAATCAGATGAGCCGTGAACGCGTATCGAAATCACTACATAGTATAAAACAAAGTCGCTTTCTCTGTCCCTATATCCCTATGTACGCTTAAATCTTTAAAACTACGCAACGGATTTTGATGCGGTTTTTTTAAGAGATATAGTGATGGAAGAGGAAGGTTTATATGTATAATAACATCCATTAAATAGTGGAGAAATACTGTTATTTTTGAGGTTTCTAATGTGATGTCGTAAATAATCAGTAATAAAATTTCATGTTTCCGAAGCGAAGCGAGGCCGGGTCGCTAGTAAACAATAAAAAAAAAATCATTTAAGATCAGACTTTCGAATTCAGAACGGATCAACATCTTCTCTCTATTACATACTAAGAGTTCCATAATCCAAACATTCCAAATATTTAATTCTGGTTAAAGTTCATCGTATACGTTTATACAAGTGTTTTTTTTAAAAACTTGACGAGTTGTAGAAAGAGTTGCATAAATTTTCTAAGCAAATATACCACGTAATCATGCATAATTTATTGTATCTATATCAGATTTACTGCCAATACAATTGACCTATTTACAAATATCATGAGCACTGTCAACAAAACAATAAAAGCGAACGGAAGCTATAAGTTATTCAGTATCTAACTTCAATAGTTAAACATATCATAATAAACTAGTTAACCAATAAAAAATATAGCCACCATCCATTTTGGATATTCGTATATGTTTGTATGAGTATAAAAAACATATGAGTTTACTCATCAAAATAATCATAATTCGATGAGACTCCATCATTAGATTTGAAATAATAATAAAATATTACCTTTATAGTCAGATAAGCATATGGCCCACCTGATGATAAGTGGTTACCGTCGCACACTGACGTCAGCAATGCCAGGGGCACAGCTAAGTCGCTGCCTACAAAATTAATTATTAAGAAACAAAATTTATATGAAATGTTAAGTGTTTTTCAAGTATTTTCTTTAAAAATGCTCGTATATTTATTTGTATGATAAAGCAGCTATTAACAAAATTTTCTTTATGTCCTTTAACAAGAATAAATATTTCGTTCGAAGGCAATCTCGTTAAAATGAAGACGCATTTCCAAGCCATTGTTACGTTAGCTTTGAATAATATGTACTTATTTACTTATTTTTTTGTACTATTCTTGTTTGTGAGCACATAAATCTATAATCAATTTGAATGACATGTAAATCGACAAAAGACGATCGAAACTCAAAAATGGGTTTACAGCAAACAAGATAGTATGCTGTACATGTTAAAAGGTCTATAAGTGTTCACAATATATTATTGTAAAATGTTTAATTTAATTTATGCAATAGGATCAGCGTTAACATCACAATCAATTTGACGAAAAAGTTTTTATTTTTTTATTGGTAAGGTGGACGAACTCGCAGCCCACCTGGTGTTAATACGTTGCTACGTAGCATCAACAGCCTAGACTCCGCCACCCATTTTGAAACACGAGTGCTAAGTCTCCGTTTTTAAAGTACAACGGCTGTCCCACTCTTCAAATCGAAACGCATTACTGCTTCACGGCAGAAATAGGCGGAGTGGTGGTACCTATCCGAGTGAGCTCAGAAGACGCCCTACCACTAGTATTTACGCAAATTTTGAGAAACTAACTTAACCTTAACTCAAACTTAACCTTCAAATTAGAATGTTTTACTGCTTTGCGAAAGAAATAGGGGGATTTCTTATGTTTAACCGTTAAATTAAAATGAATTATTTGCCTGTGTTTTGAATAAAAGCCAATAAAAAATATATAATTTTGAAATATCTCGACTAGTCACGCCGGTACGTCCTTAACCTCGTCTGACCATTTAAACAAAGTAAAAAAATGAAATGAATGAAAATAATGAAAAATGCTGACAAATTAAAATTTCATTTAAAACAAAACAAACCTCATTAATTAAGTTTCCATTGTGATAAAATTTATTTTCAATAATGCATAATCAGTTTACCGAGAACAACATTCAAATTTGCAAAACTATTCGAAGCAAAGTTAAATAAATAAACGTTATCATTGTTTCTTGAGTTATTAATTCAATGGCAAATTCATTAATTTACCATCTAATTAAAAGTGAGCTGGCTGTATAAAAGTATAGACTAGGTGACGATGAAGATCAATACAGTTGACTGTTGAACAAAGATAGAAGGCGTCTCTCATAATTGAAAATAAAAAATAGGTTTTATGTTATTCAAAAGATATAATCTTTTCGTTTTTTTTTTTTTTTTGTATTTCAAAGTGCGTTTCGTCATTGTAATAGTGCAGTGAAAACTTAAAAAAACATTTACGATGTAACTAAATTACGTGAATTTTATATCTAGTCACATACTATACAATGTCATGATAAGATTACTTTAATCTTTCTAGCAGCTATCGGTACTAAAGATATTGACTCTGGCATTTTTGTCTCCTGTTAAAACTACGATAGAAAAATAATTAAAGATTCGTTTTAGTTTCTTATTGAACCATGATATAAAAGTTATTAAATTATTTTATTTATTTTTTATATTTTTTTAATGTCATTTTAAGTTTAATTTGTTTTTTTACTCACATAAATTTCTCCACGCTTCTAAACACAGTATTACATTTTTTTTATTTGAGCACCGAAAGAAAGTATTTTAACACGTTTATAATTTGTATTAATAAACATATTTGGTATAATTTATCTATTATATTCACGATTAGATAAATGGTCCTCCGGTTATAAAATAACATCTAATGATATAACTCGTTATGATAAGATTGCTCCGCTTTGTTTAATCGTCAACCACTCTGTGCACTGTTGTCTTTCACACGGGTCGTGTTTACTTGAAATACTATATGAGTTTCCGTGTTAAAATGAATCCTTTCACAAAAATCACTATTAAATTTAAAGACTTTTTGAGATATACTTATTTTAGAAGAAAACACCTTCGCTCCGACGCGAAAGAGGATGAGGTAAAATTTTTGCTCAGGTATTATGTTATGTGAAAAAAAAAGATCATTTTATTTTATTATATACATTCCGAAATAACTTTCTTTGTGAAAACATAATTCAAAGTCGTATTTTTCTTTTAACAGAAATAACACATTTTGGATCTATCGGCAAAAGATAATTCGAATTGGAATTTCAAATTACTTACGCGTTGTAAGATCACCAATCTTAGAATTAAAACAACTGAATTAAAGATATAAACAAATACAAATCATTACTGTATTTCGTTTTGTAACATTAAATATATTTAATAATAATAACAAATAGAGTAACAAAAAATTTAAGTAACTAATATTTATTGATTCGTATTTTAGATACAGGGGACGGTCACCATGGAATTTGTGGATTTGGAAAGAGAATACACACCGGTGCTGTGGTCGAACCGGTTATATACCCCGGAGCATCGCCTCAACTTGCACATCAACCTTGTAACAGCAGGTGAAGGCATTTTCTTTCTTTTAGCAATTTATTTTCAGTTACAAGTACACTAGTGCTGTATCGAATCCGGCTTTATTTTGCAAATATACTTGAAATGTGGGAAAAAATATGCGAAAAAATATACAATTTTTTTTTATTGCTTATGTAGCTAGACGATCTCACAGCCCACCTGGTGTTAATCGGTTGCCGATATCCAAAGACATCTACAACATAAAATCCGTCACTTACCTCGAGATATAAGTTTTAAGTTCTCAGTATAGTTACAAAGGCTGCCCCACCATGACCCCACCCTTCAAACCGAAACGAATTACTGCTTCACGGCAGAAATAGGCAGTATGGTGGTACCTACCCGCGCGGACTCACAAGAGGTCCTACCACCAGTAATTACGCAAATTATATTTTGCGGGTTTGATTTTTAGTACACGATGTTTTTAGTCCATCACCGTGGAAGTAAATCGTAAACATTTGGTAAGCACGTATTTCGTTAGAAAAATTGATGCCCCCTGCGGGACTCGAACACCGCTGCATCGCTAGATACAAATGCACCGGACGTCTTATCCTTTAGGCCACGACGACTTAAAATATTGGAACATTCGAAAATATTTCAATATGCAATTTCGAAAAGGACACATCTCTGAAAATGTAAAATGTTCAAGAAATGAAAAAAAACTGATTATTTTCTAAAACAGTGTAAAATTTAAAATATTAACTTTTGAGATATATTTTAGTGTTAATTAGCCATTGAAAATTACTGGAATTATTATAAAATGGGTGTAAGTAAGCCTCAAAACTACATGTATATGAAAAAACGTATTTGACAAAATATGCGACATGTGCCCTTTTCGAAATTGCATATTCATTTAAAAAATCGACAACTCCAGGATGTTCACGTAATCTTATATGTATATAACAATTAAAACAGTAAAAAATATGCAGAATAAACTAGCCAAGTGTCAATCGAACAAATTATAGACTAATAACAAAATTAACACGGAATCTCAATTAACAAAAACAATCTAAATTTATTAGAACAAATCAAGATGATCGTTTTGGAAATATGATTTTGAGCGTCGTATAACAAAAAGAAATAAATGAATACTCGGAATTCACACCCATGGAAATAAAATACGTTAGGTACATCACTAACATACCTATAATTATGCATGTAACCTATTGACGATAAAGTGAAATTTAAAATGCTGAAATATACAAGTCACCTTTTTTTTTTTGCTGATAAACTTTTTAATTGGAGTATGGCTATACATTTAATTAATAAACTTAATTTTAACAGTTATCAGAATTATAATATTTTATATGCGTATTGAATGAAAGATTTTGCGCTAAAAACAAAAGACTAGCTTTAAATATATGAGTCGACTATTATCAAAGCCGGCAATGTGACTTTTGGACAATTATTGGTAAATCAAAAAAACTAATTATTGACTTTGCATTCCATTGGCAGTCACAAAACTCTTCTGAACGACATCTTAGATAAATAACAGGTTAAGTATTAACCTTTATTTAATGCAGGTTTTGAACCGTATTCTTTGAAGGAGACGATTATATTCAAATCAATCTGTATTGACATATCAATAACATTTTTTTGTTCAAATGCACAGATTGCCACCTTTGATAATAGACGACTCATATGTAGNCATTCCATTGGCAGTCACAAAACTCTTCTGAACGACATCTTAGATAAATAACAGGTTAAGTATTAACCTTTATTTAATGCAGGTTTTGAACCGTATTCTTTGAAGGAGACGATTATATTCAAATCAATCTGTATTGACATATCAATAACATTTTTTTGTTCAAATGCACAGATTGCCACCTTTGATAATAGACGACTCATATGTAGCTACGATGTATCAAAACGAGCTTGTTGGAATTCTCATCAGGACCCCACGTTCCAAGGTGAATCGCGATGCTCACGTGTCATCATAATTGTTGCCGTTTAGAATATCATTTATATGCAAAGGGTTTCTCCTTAATCAGAATAATGAATAAGCTGTATCTAAAGATCGAAATTCGATACAGTAATCTTTGTAAAGCCAAATCTGCTTACGTGTATTCTTGGGCGCGTAAGAGCTTAAAATAACATTAAAGTTTGAAATTGAACAAACTTAGAGTATTCAGTAGATGCATTGTCTCGTTCAAACTAATCTTTTAATACGTCCAAGTATAAATAGACTCGATATGTTCGTAATAATCTGTTCAATCTACATTATTTCAGAGAGCGAAATAGCCACAAATAACGTTCCACACAAATTGGAGATTGAGTACGGATCAACGCCCGGACAGAAGCTGGACATTTTCGGTACCGACCTCCCGAATGGTAAGTGTAAAACTTATTTTCGTTCAATCTAAAATACAGTATTTTCTCCGGCTTTGGCGAATCGCAGACATAATAAAAACTACTTTTACGATTTTCATTTAGCTTTTATTATTTTCATTTTATTATTATCTGACGCTTCAAATACTTTACAGTTTTTTTTCTGGTCACGGACGACATAGATTGATGACAACTTAGATAGGTCCATTCATCATAGTATGTTTATAGGGTAGGTTATTGAAAATCCGTCATGAAGTCTGAAAGTTTGAACAATTTAATTCCTACATTTAACGTTGTACAATGTATTTTGTATACTTCTTTTTAGTCTACAACGCGGGACATACTCGCGATTGTCTGCCATTAAGCGGCTAGCAAAGTCCATAGACACCACAGCGTCTTTATTACTGGTTTCAGGACGTCTTGTGAGTCCGCACTTGTAGTTACCACCATCCTGCCTATTTCTCCCGTGAAGCAGTAGTGCGTTTCGGTTTGAAGGGTGGGGGTAAAAATTGAACTTAGAACACATGTCTCAAGGTGGGTGGCAGCATTTACGTTGTCTATGGACTCACCATTTAACACCAGATGGGCCGTGAACTCGTCCACCCATCTAAACAATTAATAAATTAATTTCCACCGTCCTTGCAATATTGGCTTGAAGCCGCAAGAAACAAAATGCGTAAAGACCACTCAATATGTATGCTACGTTCTTAAGTTATCCAGACTATAGAAGGCACGGATTAACCCTTTGATAGCCGCCCGACTGCACTTCAAACCTTTTGGAAACAAGGAGTAATGGAGTGCAAATTGTCTTGAACGGGTCAAGGTTTTGGGTGCTTAAGATGGTACCGATTATTGATTGGTTGTTAACGATTCATGTATTCAGGGATTTTATTTTTACTGCTGGTACTTTCTCAGAAAAAAAAGAGTAGTGTACTTAGAAATTTGTGCAATTCCGCTAAAAAAACTCTGTATATGCATATTTGCTTCACCATTGACTTAAAACAAAAGCGTATCCGAAACGAAGACGATATTATTTATTCAAGTTAAATATAAAATTTCAGCAGAAAATAATTTGCAAGAAATATTTAAAAAATTTGTTAAAATTGTTAAATTACTGTATGAGTTAATATAAAAAGTGTCTTTATTTATTTCTCACTAATTTAAGATTCATAACGCAAATACGTACATAAATCTTTTTTTGCGGAACTACACAATGTTAATATCTATTTAAGTATGTTTACCTTATTTTAATACATCTTAAATATTTACCTACTTTATAGAGTACGTATTTATAGACAGGAATTTATTTCGGAACACTGTTTACGAAAAACAATACACAGAATTCTTTATTTCCTTAAAATTCTTCCGCGTTATGCGTTTTGTTTTCATACTAGGATATCATCTCGTAAGATAATATTATATTTAAATAACTACTATCATATTTAAATCTTGTATTCGTCTCTATAATTACACAAGAGTCATACGGAAGTTGACACTGGAGCTTGTTGATTCGACAGTTTTTCTTGGTATAACAGTTGATTCCAGGCTGCAGTGGGGTCCTCACATATGCAAGTTAGCGAATAGACTTAGTTCTGCAGCGTTTGCGGTAAAAAAAATACGAACGTATACTGATGAAGGTACGGCACGTCTAGTTTATTTCAGTTATTTTCATAGTGTTATGTCCTATGGCATTTTGCTATGGGGCAATGCTGCCGATGTCGAAACGATTTTCATCCTGCAGAAGAGGGCTATTCGTGCTATTTATAATATGCACCCGAGGGAATCCTTGAGGGACAAGTTTAAGGAAATCAAAATTCTAACTTTAGCGTCCCAATACATTTTTGAAAATTTATTGTACGTGCGTAAAAACATTGTAGAATTCCCCAGAGTCTGCGATTTGCATAATGTGAACACTAGGAACAAACATAGGCTTGCGTTGCCGGCGGCTCGAATTAAGAAAATAAGCAACTCTTTCAGGGGGCTGGGTGTACAACTTTTCAACAAGATCCCACAAAACGTTCAACTACTACCTGTTCATAGATTTAAGAAAACTGTCAAGGAACGTTTGTGCAACAAGGCATATTATAAAGTTAAGGATTTTTTACTAGATGGCACTACGTGGGAATGAGGCGTTCGCTCCTGGCCTTTTCATTTTTCATTATTATTATTATTTATTTGAATTGTATTTTTTTGACTTGTTTTTTTGTATACTGTAAATATGTTTTCTTGTTTAAAAAAAAAAGAAAATAGTTGAGAAAATACAAAAAAAAAAAAAGCCCGCTGAGTTTGTTTCGCCAGTTCTTCTCAGGACTGGGGCTTTTTTTTGGAACCGATGGTAGAGTTAACATTTTCTTTTACATTTTGACATTCAACAAGTGTGTTTTTGATGACATCCAAGTTGAAATAAATGATTTTGAATTTGAATTTGAATTTGAATTGTTGTAATGATTCAAGTTAAAAAAATGTCGAAATTTCTCGGTTCACTACATTTCAAATACAAGTCTACTCGCGGGCATGGCCCTTGAGAAAGTGCCGAGATATCGGAAACTCATCAATACTAAAAATCGTGTCAAGAACTTTTTTAATAAAATTTAAATTTATAATGAGTATTTCGTCAAAAGCGGTTACTATAAGGTGAATCAGAAGAACACGTGCAAGCTAGAAGGGTCAATCATCACCTTAGCCTATAGCTGTCCACTGCTGAACATAGATCTCTCCAATAAATCTCCAGTGCAGCCGGTCCGTTGCTATCTGCATCCAACGTGACCCACCCATTTTCACTAGTCATCGATCCTGGCGTGAGCTGGCCTGATCTGGCCTGAGCTTGCCAGTACGTGATCTCCATTTAAGAAATATTTTGTTCTACCGGCCGTCCGATCTTTGCGCTTTGTCGCCTGCACACCGCCACTTCAGCTGGCTAATCCTACGGGCTATATCAGCATCTTTGGTTCTTCTACGAATCTCCTCATTTCTGATTCTGTCTCGATTCTGTCTAGTGTCGGAACTATCTTGTAATTGCTTGATTTACACATATACATTACCTTTTTTTATTTATTAAGAAAGTTTTAAATTAACAACTAATGTGTGAATAAACAAAAATGCGTATAACTCACTTTTGGTATCTTTATCTTTATTTTAATGCCATGGATACTGTAACGCCTCTGTCTACCCTAAAATTATTATGTTCAGATTAAATGTTTGTATAAATATGAATGTCCAATATCTTTTATATTGTGCTTTATGACTCCTTTAATACATAAGAGTATATCTCTCACCAGTTGGTGTCGCCGCCCTTTGCGTGGCGTCTTGTCGCGTCATCTTGTACTACTAATACTTTGTAATTTCAATACTAGCTGACCCGGCAGACTTCGTAGTGCCTCAATCGATATTTAAAAGACCTAAACTTTTGAATAAAATAAACTTAAAACAAACAAAAAGAATCCGTCCGACGGGGGACACATCAAAGGAAAAACAAAATTGTTATTTTTATTTAATTCTGAGCATTTTCATATTTATCTACCTTTTAAACCTTCTCTGGACTTCCACAAATAATTCAAGACCAAAATTAGCCAAATCGGTCCAGCCATTCTCGAGTTTTAGCGAGACCAACGAACAGCAATTCATTTTTATATATAACTAGTCAGGTCATAAGTATTGTCACACAGTAAAAACTTTTCTTTTAGAATGCTGGCCACATAAAAGTTTATTGAATTCGAATTTCGAATTGTTCATGAAAATAAAAATGTATACTTTTAGAATTTTACTCATTTTTAAATATGGAGTGGACGCTTAAAGAAGACCGTGTTGCAGTTATTGCGTTGCATCGTTGCGGTTACGCGCCAATTCAAATTTTTAACATACTAAAAAATTTGAATATAACCAAAAGATTCGTTTATCGTACCATCAAACGATACAATGAAGACTCTAGTGTAGATGACAGGTCAAGAAGTGGTCGCCCTCGGTCTGTTAGGACTCCAGCAGTGATAAAAGCTGTGAAGGCGCGAATTCAAAGAAATCCCAAACGTAAGCAGAAACTGTTGGCCCTTCAGATGGGGTTAAGCAGAACCACGGTGAAAAGGGTGTTAAATGAAGACTTAGGGCTTCGGGCATATCGAAGAAAAACAGGACATCGTTTGAATGCTCGTCTAATGGACCTGAGACTGAAGAGATGCCGCGCTTTGTTGAAGCGGTACGCGGGAAAAAAATATCGGGAAATTCTTTTTTCGGATGAAAAAATTTTTACCGTAGAAGAGAGCTACAACAAACAAAATGATAAGGTGTACGCACACAGTAGTGAAGAAGCGAGCAACCGTATTCCGCGTGTCCAACGAGGTCATTTTCCATCCTCGCTCATGGTATGGTTGGGAGTTTCTTATTGGGGCTTAACAGAGGTACATTTTTGTGAGAAAGGTGTAAAAACGAATGCAGTTGTGTATCAAAATACAGTCCTGACGAACCTTGTGGAACCTGTTTCTCATACCATGTTCAATAACAGGCACTGGGTATTCCAACAAGATTCGGCGCCAGCTCATAGAGCGAAGAGCACACAAGACTGGCTGGCGGCGCGTGAAATCGACTTCATCCGGCACGAAGACTGGCCCTCCTCCAGTCCAGATTTGAATCCGTTAGATTACAAGATATGGCAACACTTGGAGGAAAAGGCGTGCTCAAAGCCTCATCCCAATTTGGAGTCACTCAAGACATCCTTGATTAAGGCAGCCGCCGATATTGACATGGACCTCGTTCGTGCTGCGATAGACGACTGGCCGCGCAGATTGAAGGCCTGTATTCAAATCACGGAGGTCATTTTGAATAAACTTTAGTGTCATAAGAATCTATGTTTTGTTAAGTTCATTTTGGTATATGAATGGTTACATAATGAATAAACTTGTTTCAATTATTTTACATTAAACATGTGACAGAACTTATGACCTTACTAGGTATAGATTTTTATTATTACTGAGATCAGTGGATGAGCTCACCTGGTGTTAGGTAGATACCGGAAAACATAGACATCAACAATGTAAATGCCGCCAGCCACCTAGAGATTTGGGTTCAAAGTCTCAATTATACCAAACAACGGCTGCGCTAAGATTTAAAACGAAGGGCATTTCTGGTTCACGGCAGAAAGAGGCAGGGTGGTAGTGCTTACTCGTGTAGGATCACAAGAAGCCATACCATCAGTATCCTATTCAATAAACCAAATAATAATTTAAATACTAAAAGTACACGTAGCTTATTTTATTTTCATAGAATCTTAATTCTTGTTCACCGATGTTTTTTTATAGTAATTATGCATGCGAAGTATTGCTCGAACTGATGCGAAGGATTGCTCTGCGGAATTGTTCCAGATGATACCATCATCTCGTTTTTACCATCGCACCGCCCGCCACCGGAGTAGAGTTCATCCATACTACCTGGAACCACTGCGGTCATCCACAGTGCGTTTCCAGAGGTCTTTTTTGTCACGTACAATCTGGCTATGGAATGAGCTGTCCTCCACGGTATTTCCCGAGCGCTATGACATGTCCTTCTTCAAACGAGGCTTGTGGAGAGTATTAAGCAGTAGGCAGCGGCTTGGCTCTGCCCCTGGCATTGCTGAAGTCCATAGGCGACGGCCGTATGCTCGTCTGCCTACAGGGGCAATAAAAAAGAAAAGTACACTGATACGCTACGCTGCGTGTGCTACATTGATGGACGTTTGAAAAAATCCTGTACCAAACGTAACTAGTGTACCAAATTTCAAAGAAATCGTGTAAACCAAACGCGAATGAATTCGTCAAACAAAGCACACAAACATTCATTTTTGTATATTAGTTTCGCATTATGTTCGCAGAATCTCCAATTCTCGTGTTCATTCACGGTGGATACTGGCCGGACGTGTCTCGTGAAATATCACGTTATCCAGCAAAATCCCTCTACCCCGCCGGCGTTAAGACAATAATTGTTGGTTATGATCTCTGTCCCGCGGTCACGCTTGCTGAGGTCGTCAATCAGATACAGAACGCTGCGAGATACATCTTCGAATACGCTGAGAAGATGAATTCTAGGTGAGGAAAAATAATTAAAAGCTACTGTATGCAGAATTCGACACAATAGGAACCATTATGCACAAGGAGATAGTCTAAAGTCAACACATTCATTCTTTACTTTCATGAGCCCGCTTTTTGAATAGTGCCAGGTTGGTTAGTAAGTAAGTATGTACTAAATTTACTTCAGGATTCGCAAGTCGTAAATAATAAAAGGCAATTCTACGGTGTTTATTATTGTAACCTCGTGTTTATTATTGTAACTTCATTATTTTGGACATTCCGAATACATTTTACTCCTCGTGGTAACGAAAGACCACGTGAGTCTTAATCATATAAGTAGTTTTAATTAATCCAAAGTATTTAAAAGATAATTAGTAATTATTTTTAATAGTATGACTATAATTATTTATTTGTCTAAGATGGAATATAACATTAAACAAACAAAAACATTACTGCTTTAAACTAATATCTAACGATTGAATTAATGTTTTTTTTTAATTGCTTAGTTAGGTGGACGAGCTCACAGCCCACCTGATGTTAAGTGGTTACTGGAGACCATAGACATCTACAACATAGATGCGCCACCCACATTGAGATATAAGTTCTAAGTTCTCAATATAGTTACAACGGCTGCTTAGCACAAGAGGTCCTACCACCAGTAATTACGCAAATTATAATTTTGCGGTTTTGATTTTTATTACACAATGTTATTCCTTCACCGTGGAAGTCAATCGTGAATATTTGTTAAGTAGTTACGTATTTCATTACAAAAATTGGTACCCGCCTGCGGGATTTGAACACCGTTGCATCCTTTGCTGTTTTACTGTTCTCCTAACAAAACGGAATTCTCATCGTATTTCAGAGGCGTTTACTTCGCGGGACACGGAACGGGAGCGCATCTGGTAGCGAAACTCCTGGCCAGTTCCGAATTTTTCGAAAACACGCCCGATTCACACCACCTCCAGGGAGCCTTCCTTATTTCAGGACTGTACGACTTACGGGAAGTCGTAAATACATCAGTCAACAGATCTGTGCAACTGCCTCATGAGTGGGCAGTGCCGCTGTCCCCTCAATTCGATTGTTTCTCCCACTTACAGTCGCGAAGGATCAGAATTTACATTTTTGCCGCCCAAAACGACAGCCCGACTTTCAAGAGGCAATCGAGAGAGTTCTATGAGCTCCTACACAATACGTGCTTAATGCAGAACATGTATTTGGAGATCAAAGACGATATGGATCATCACGAAATAGTCGAGTGCTTCGCGAACAGCAACAACTACCTCAAGAACTTGTTGATTCATGATATTCGTAAGCACATATGACGCGACCTTAAATAATTAACAGCCTATATCAGGGTTTCCCAAACTTATTTTGTCTACTGCCCACTTTGAGAATAATATTATTTTTTAGCGCCCCCATTTTTTCACCTACTTAAAAACCGTTATAGCGAGAGCTCAGTCGGTGTCTAAGAGCCCTCCTAGATGAAATTACAAATCGCCTCTCAAGCCTCTACACACCGCCCCCATTTTTTTTCTGGGTCTCTTACCGCCCCCCTTTAAGCCTGAAGTGCCCGCAAGGGGGCGTTATCGCCCACTTTGGGAAAGGCTGGCCTATATGTTTGCTATGTTTTACCTCTGGTCAATTATTAAGACTACATACAATGATACATAGTAACATTAATTCAAATGAGGATATAATCAATAGATTACCTCGTGCTTTCACAGCACGAGATAAACTTGAAAATAAATGCAGAGGACTGAGCTAAATCGTTCCAGGTTATATTTTTATATCTCACCTTGGTTCATAACGGATCGTCTGAAACGAGCAACGTTTAGCATCCATTGCGCAACATCTAATAAACAACACAAAAAATATTCATTAGTCTATTACTCGATTAATGAACAAGCATTGTACCGAATGGTAAATTAAGAATTATGAACAGTGCAAATATTCGGAATAGTACTTATGAATATAGTAATTAATTATATCATAGAAATTTCGATTTACTTTACCTTCTAATTTTGCTGGATTAAATCGATCGTGCTATAAACGCTTGGTAAATTCGTATTTGGAGTAGACAGATTATTTAGTTTGTCGTTTATCGAAGAGGAAGATGTTTTCTACCTAGGTTTTCGCATTAGCACGTATTGTGTTTAAAATGTAATCAAATTTAGAATGAAGCATTCCAATTACAACAAAACATAAGCAATTCTGAGTAATTGTTTGAGATGATCTCAATTTTACCATAAAATCGCACCTCGCCCGGGCGGAGCATAGCCCATCAGTACTGTCTGGCAGCAATGAGCTCATTCTACAGGGCGTATCAAAACATACTATATACTGCTCTTGAATAAAGCGGCGTATCTTGGGTACGATTTGAACAAAATCCTCCTCGAGTAGCGATCTCCCTAAGCAATGGTAACCACTCACCATTAGGTAGACATGTCATATTTTTCGTACAAAAAAATAATAATTCAAAATCAACGCTATTTGCTGAAATTATTGTTTTTTTTTTCTCTGAAATTGACAAAGTAATATAAATTTGAAATCAGTTGATACTAATATTAAAAAAAAAAATTTATTTAATGTCGATAATGGATCTCTTAATAATGTAACTTTTAGGTACTAACATATTATTTTTTTAATTAATTTTGATTACATTTATTAATTTAAGTTAGTGTTAAACACAAGTCCAGCAGACTTGTTTTTGTTTATTTTAAGAATACATTGAATATTGCAAAACTTTGAGATTCTCTGAAATACAATCTTCTTTGATTTCGTTGTGTATATTTTTATTGTCGTTGAAGTTAAAGGTGTTGTAAAAGATTTTTAAAAACAAAATTTTCAAACAAAAAACCCGTGAATAGGGTTCGTGAATATCTTCAATGTACAAACTAATATAAATGAAATATTGTCTATTTTTTCACGAATGTAGCATATATTATGATATAATAGGATATTTACAGCAAACAGAAAACTTTTATTTCTAAATAAAATAATAAATTAAACACATATTTCTATTATTTAATACAAATTTCTTTTCATACTCATCACTCTGTTGTCAACAGGCTAATTCTAATTTTTTACAAGCGGTCGCAGTATCAATACTCAAACAGGATAAATACCAAATAAATACTCCAGAAGTATTATTACCACCTCTTATTATGTAGAAGGACAAGACACTGGGATACCTAAAAGAAAAACTTAAAATTGAGGAAAAATGGAAAAACTCACGAGTTTAAATGCAAAAATTTGAATATAAAGCACAGTTGAAATTTTTAAGTAAAAAGTTGCAACACTCACAACTCCGAAGATTTATGTACATCTTTTGAAATTTATTTTTGGTATTCATGCAAAAAAGCTAATTAGATTACCTTTAAAAGCGGAAGTAATGGACGGGGAACAGATGCTCATCTAAATATAAGGCTGAGTTATGTACGTCCTTTGTACAGACCGACGAACAGCATCGTGTGATCAGGCCCAATGAGGAAATATAGAAAAGGTCGATCAGCCCGGACGATCGGAGCGGGATAATGAGCACGCCGCTTTCTTAACACCATATCTATGTGAACAGCAATAAAAAAAAAACACTATAGCAAACCGACCGGTACGTCACTCTCGCGGCCGTATGCCCGCTCGCTATGCATAGTTTTTAGTATCTATGTCCGTCTTTTGACAGAGATTTTTTTTTCTCCTGCCTATCCTGATAGCCTTGAGTGGCTATTTCAGCTTCACCCCAACGTTTGTAGGTGAGCTCACGGGGGTCAAACCGGAGAGTTGCTAACCTAGCAAGAGCAGTGCTTCGCAGAATCTACCACCGGATCGGAAACGCGACCCACTGAGAAGATCCGGCGAGAAACTCAGTGGGCTGCGTCTATGGGTTAATTCGCTCATCGAGCCGTCGCAAGCGACGGGTTCGATGAGGAGGTTGACCGGTGCTTGTGGTGCCTAAAAGCGCCGTTAATGGATCAGGAGGATCCATAATGACGTGCTTTGGGTGACGTCGACGGTTTACCATTCAGTGACAGAGAAGTGTATAATCTATGTTCCGGGAGCTTCCGTTTGAAGTGTGAGTAGCGTGCGCCCGCGTCTTATTGTAATTGTCCTTTTAAATCGAAAATTGTTTGTGTACATAACAAGATTAGAATTCGAAATTTGATATTAGTGACTACTAACCCATAGTTTTGTTGAATAAAATACCCCTGAGACCTACCGCTCACTATAACACTGAATTTTCAATTCAAAGGGCATTAATTACGAGCACAATATCTATTTTAGACAACAATAAAAAAAGTCATACAATTTACATCTACAATAAAATTGACGTAGACGATTGTAAAAGTGATTGTGATGACACAAATTATGTGATTTTTAATGGATTTTACGGAAATATCAAGTCCCACCTTCGTGACCATATCTAAGCAAAAATGTTATAAATTAGTAAGACTGTTTAAGTATTTCTTAAAGACTTAGGACTCAGACTTAAATCGTACTTACGAGTGGCAGCAGCCGCTTCGGCTCCTTCTTCATTCACTTCAATGAAGGCTTTTTGTATGGCCTTCGAGATATACAACGACTCGTTGTTATCCAAGATCTTCGACACACCAGAATTTTCGCGACGGAAGATCGCATTAATGCCCAACTAAAATTAATTTAGCTTGTTTGAAGTTCTAATATCAATTTGGCAACTACATGCAGGTACAAATCTGAAAGTACTTTAAATCCATTATTTTTTTTTTACGTTCAATAGTAAGCATGGGTACGCGTACTTTTTAATTTTTTTTTTATTGGTTATATGAGTGGACGAGCCCACAGGCCACCTGGTGTTAAGTGGTTACTGGAACCCATAGACATATACAACGTAAATGCGCCACCCACCTTGAGATATAAGTTCTAAGGTCTCAAGTATAGTTACAACGGCCCACCCTTCAAACCGAAACGCATTACTGCTTCACGGCAGAAATAGGCAGGGTGGTGGTACCTACCCGTGCGGACTCCCAAGAGGTCCTACCAGTAAAAGTAATTCTATATGTAGATAAGGTACCTTTGAGAAAACATGCGTAAGGTCTATTTCAGTTTCAGTCTTGAATTTGGGTATTATGACTTGTAGTTTTGTTGAGATCAGCTTCTCCCATACTGCGATGAGATCGAAGCCGTCGGCTAGTTTCCGTAGGACTTGATCAAGGCCATCAATTTCGTTCGGTAATACAATTACCATGCTGGCCTCGTTACCTTCATACGCCATTTCTAAGATCTAAAAAAACGGTAAAAATAGATAGATTTTTTAAAAATTTCACACTTAGTGCAATATAGGAATTATATTTAGATTATATTTTGTCGAAGTCGTCGTGGCCTAAAGGATAAGACGTCCAGTGCATTTGTATCTAGCGATGCACCGGTGGGCGAGCAAGGGCTCAGCCAGAAGGGGCGAGATTTGCTAACAGCTACACGAGCACCTCCAACGGAGACCTAACAACTCAAGAGTAGCTGCTTCGCCAATGAATCTGCTCCGGATCGGAATCGCAACCCACTGAGAAGATCCGGCGAGAAACTCAACGGACTGATGCTTAGGTTAAGTTGCACGTCAAACTCTTTGTCAAATTCGACAGGTACGGTTACCGGGCTTATTTTGTCAGTAGATAGATTAATAATACCACTGTACTGAATATAAGTACCACACATTGTAAGTTTATTCATTCATTTCTTCATTTTTCTAAAACTACTAGTACCATTAGAAGATAATTATAAGAAATATAAACATTAAAATTAAATTGGTTTTAATAATTTTTATTCAAAACTAGCTGACCCGGCAGACTTCGTAGTGCTTCAATCGATAAATAAAAGACCTAAACTTTTGTATAAAATAAACTTAAAACAAACAAAAGGAATTTTGATATTTATCTACCTTTTAAACCTTCTCTGGACTTCTACAAATAATTCAAGACTAAAATTAGCCAAATCTGTCCAGCCGTTCCGAGTTTTAGCGAGACTAACGAACAGCAATTCATTTTTGTATATACATAAATATATAGATTACTTTGCAGTCTTTAAACAAGACAAAAAATCGAAATATGTACCTGGGCGTTGAGCTCAGTGTTGTTGTCGTACTTAAATTTCTCTTCTTGGTACATCATGGGAATTTTCACAGATGTTTCGTTGTTAATATAGAACGGATGCTCCACGGTGCTCTTGGGGTTAAATTGGTTTTTCCATGAACCCTTCAAAATAATATTTAAAATTATTTATTGTACGATATAGAATCTTTCTCTGGAAACGTACTGTCCGTGAAAAGAATTCGATGGAAGAGATAAGCTCCCCTCCGATGGCGAGAAGTATGGTAAGATACCTTACCTTTCACAGGTATCATTTACCCCCCTCGACCGGGTATCCGTAAATGGATTCCCCAGCGTGAAAAAAAAAAGGTATCATTTACCCGCTTCTACGTTTACAAAATTCATCATCATAAAACCAACGAAACCGAAAAAATACTTCAGTGTTATTGGAACTATATTGTCTTGATTTACTTAGTTTTTTAAACAAATATATTTTGTTTATGTAATTCGTAATCAATTTCACACCTTCTCTCAAATAACAATTTTAAATGTGTTATCGAGTGAATCCATAGAAAGAAGTATGTATTTTTATTTTTAAATTAAAATGCTCTGTCAGCTTTTACGTTTTGTCGGACGTAAAATTAGTAACTTTCTGCAATTATTTTACGTGTACCATACATATATTAAAATAACAGTCTTACCTTAAAGTAGAGAGCGTTGATCAGAACGATTTGCGTGTCAGAATTGAGGCTGCTATTGGATACCAGATTTTTAATTCGTTCATTTGTTTTACTTTCGACCTGTACATAAAAAATACACACTCCTAAAACATCATAAAATGGATCCAGTTATCGTCGATACGAATCTCATTGTAACAAGGTGAAGTGAAGACCATTACCCAGCCGTTGATCAGTTTAGCAGCAGCAGCGCTGTCTCCGAAATCGACTTTCTCCAATTCCGCATCAAACACGTCCACGGCGTCTTTCTTCAGTTGCGAATTGAGTTCACAATCGCACGATTTAACGTATATCTTGTTTGCTAAACTTAAATTAATACCCTTAATAGTTTTCAATTTAGCAGAGGCCGCAGTGAAAAGCGTGCGTATCTGAAAAAACACTTATTAAATATATAAAAAAAAACATACAAAATCTGTCGTATTGCGCATTTGTATACACTACATTGAGATCAAAATTTACCAAGAATCGAGAATAGATTCCGGGTCAAAGCGACGCCTTCATCAAAGAATACTGAATATTTATTGAGTGTTCATAATACACAGGAAGTTTATTGTCCAATGGTCGGGCTATACGACAAAATTCATATCACGAAATGAAGAGAAGTGAACATTTTCTTGGATCTCTCTTTTAATCTCTTGATTTATTTGTTCAAAGAACAATCTTGTATAAAATGAAGCTACCGCAATAATATATATGTATTTATTTTTAAGCTAAATTGCAATTTGTAATTTGGGAATATGGAAAAAAATCAATGTAGATAATTCATTAATATGTATTATGAGTATTGTCGTTACAATATCGTACAACAACATCTTTACAATAAGTATCGTTATACTCGTCTCGTTTTTTATTGCTCTGGTGGGAAATGATAGAAAAAGGAAGAGCTTGTAGTCGTCGTGGCCTAAAGGATAAGATAGTCCGGTGCCGTCGTATCTAGCGATGCACCGGTGCTCGAATCCCGCTGGCAAGTACCAATTTTTCTAATGAAATACGTACTTGACAAATGTTCACAATTGACTTTCACGGTGAAGGAATAACATCGTGTAACAAAAATCAAACCAGCAAAATTATAATTTGCGTAATTACTGGTGGTAGGACCTTTTGTGAGTCCGCGCAGGTGGGCACCACCCCGCCTTCCTCTGCCGTGAAGCAGTAATGCATTTCGGTTTGAAGGTTGGAGCAGCCGTTGTAACTATACTGAGACCTTAGAATTTATATCAAAGTGGGTGGCGTATTGACGTTGTAGATGTTTATGGACTCCTGTAACCATTTAACACCAGGTGGGCTGTGAGCTCCACCACCCATCAAAGCAATAAAAAAAAAGTTGCTTTTGCTCGGAAAATCGATGTTTCGAAAATTATTGTACAATATTTGTGTGTATACTTATGTATATATGCATTTTTATCCAAATAGCATCCGTATGAGGATTTATCAAATTCTTAAATTCTATCATAGGTACCGCGACACTCCAGATGGACAGATGAACTCACATACGACCCGTTCTGAATTTCTCACTAGAATGGTTACCGTCTAAGTCTCATCTTTATGCTGAATGCAACAGAAGTCGTCATGGCCTAAAAGATAAGATGCTCACTATGCTCATATCGTAGCGAAGCGACTCTGACAGTGTTCAAACCCAGCTTACGGCGATTCGAATTCACGTTGCGTTATCTACGGGTTCCGGTAAGCACTTAATACCAGGCGGACTGTGAGCTTTTTCATCAATTTGGGCAAAAAATATGAAAATAAAACAAATTCTCTATAGCAGTGCAGTGATGAGCAAGAAGCATGCACTTAGTTCTAATTACGATAGATTAAGATACGTACCGTGTCGACATCTGGAAAATCGAGGCTTGTTAAGAGCTCTTCGTGTGCAGTATCCGTTGAACCCAAAGCTATCAGCGCCAATAAGTATTCCGCTGACAACGGTGACGAGACCACATCTTTATCACCGTTTAGCTCCTGTTGAAGCCATATTGAACTTACAACAAAACAATCTTCTGGAAAGCTATTTACTAAATTTGCGCATTCATAAATTAATTTATGATGACGATACAATGACCAATCGAAACAATACATTACGCGCAAACCATTATGATAAAACAATTACCATCGTAATTACAGTAAATATTGCTATTTTATGTGAATGTCGTAATGTATATTTTCACGGATGAAACATTAAGCTTCATATATATTGTTACACCCGTAAGAGTAGCGCCATCTATTGCCGAATAGCTGAAACGAATATCAGAGGATCTAGTAACATCTAGAACGCTCGAGAAGTACAACGCCATCTATTGTCAGATAGCGGAAACGCACAGAAAATACTCGACTTGTGAGGAATGTTCTCGATAATTCTAGGGATGTCGTATCGACTATAAAAGCGTTACAGATATGACACCCAGTCAGTTAGTAATCGGAACTACTCGAAGCGAAACAGCGAATGGATCATCTGAAGCGAAGCGGAAGAAGCGAATTGAGAATTTTAAAGTGTTTGTGCAGTGTTTTAAGAATTCTAAGTGCTAAAACAGTTTTTAATTTGTTCTTCGGTAGAATTTTATTTATCTCGAACCCCAGCGCGTAACAATACCTTGGCGGAACTCAACATTAAAGTGATATTTTATGTATTTGTATATGGCAAGATAAATTCACGTACAATATTACCGTAAACTATTGCCGGAGCTGAATAAACGTTGTTTAAGGTCGCCAGGTGAGCCGGGCCAACAGGGTTTATCCCCTAACTAACGTTTGGGATTCCGGAATGGTCGAAAATTCTACGAATATTTAAAATTGCATTAATTATGTGGACGAAAGAAAGAAATCGCCTATACAAACGGGTCTCTTCTTCAAACGAGCCTTGTGGAGAGAACTTAACGGAAGGCAACAGATTGGCTCCGCCTCTGGCATTGCTGACGTGCATGGACGTAAGGTAGGCCGTACGCTTGCCTGCCTACAAGGACGCTAAAAAAACAAAACCATTGAACTCATAGACAATAGGTAGGTACACTTTTTTTCTTCATCATTCCCTTGCTGCTGCCTATCGTAGTCCCGTAGCACTCTTTCGACAATATGACTCCATTTGATGCTATCAGCCGCTTGGTGAATTGCGACGCTGACAGGTCCATAGCCAATTGGTGGGATATCTAACCCGTCCAACATGTTGACCTTGTGCATCTTGGCCCTTTACTCTTCCACTTTCCATCAGCCGTACCAGGTTATCAGGACTTCGATATCGTATTATATATGCTGTAGGCAGACTGATGATGAACGAACTGAGATAGTGAAAAGGAAAAATTTCAGAATAGACCTTTTTTTGTTTTGTTTCAGGCGCTATAATTACTTTCAAATTGATTGATTTGATGATCACAAATCAATTGCCCGAAGCGACGACAAATATTGAAACTGTAAAAAGTATTACCGTTTTGATTGTGACGGCAGTCGAAATAAAAAAGGCAATCATTATTTTTTTTCAAAAATTTCTTCAATCGCTTAAAGCTCAAGTTTCATCAATAAAAAAATTAAAAAATACTAAGCTCTTTTTGGTTTGTGATGTGAGCTTCATCTCTTTAAGATCGCTAAGTGTCGGATTATGTGAGAAAGAGAAAGAAAGAGAATATACTTTATTGCACACCAAAACACCACTAACATTAAAAAACAGTCAACAAGCAGAGATATATTTCTACAATAGACGGTTTTATCGTTAAAAACGATCTATTCCAGACAACCACAAACTATGACACAAATATCTGACGGAACTGTCATCGTAGATACAAAACGATCAAAGTCAAGGTCTTCGTATACTGACAGTAACCTTACAACCAACAGGAATCATTAAACAAATAACTGTGAGCATTAATTGTGTAACGTTTTGACACTCTATACCACAATAATATGATGATATAATATTATTAAAGCATATCATCATACTCACATTGCAAAACTTGACAGAGAACTTTGCTATTGTCGAGGAGAACGACTTCGTATCCATACCGACCACAGTTTGGTTCGCTTTCTTTAAAATAAAACTAAATATGTTAAGAGAGTACAACGGAACTATTTTGCGTGGCCGCAAATGTTATTGTAGATGGCAGCCATCAGACAGCCGGCACGAACAACGCGCGGTATTAACGTGTGTATTCTTGATGACATAATAACATTCATAACGCGACGTCGACCGGTCAGCGCACGTAACAGTGAATCACGCTCAAAAAGTGGGGATCTCTCAAGGCCAAACATTACTATAATAAACAGTAGCGGTAAAAATTAGATCGCTGCCCTACATTTTGGAAGTACTTACTTACTTAGTGTGAAGATATATTGTACGGCTGGCTGTACCATTGAAAAGATTTGCCCAAAAATATCTATATAATATAAAAATGAATTGCTGTTCGTTAGTCTCGCTAAAACTCGAGAACGAATTTTGGTCTTGAATTATTTGTGGAAGTCCAGACAGAGAAGGCTTTAAGCCTCAGATAAATATGAAAATGCTCGTATTTAAATAAAAATAACAATTTAGTTTTTCCTTTAATGTTTCCTTCGTCGGACAGATTCCTTTTGTTTGTTATAAGTTTATTTCATACAAAAGTTTAGGTCTTTTATTTATCGATTGAGGCACTACGAAATCTGCCGGGTCAGCTAGTAGGATGATAAAAGTTATAATAATGCCGGTTATTTATTACTTCATCGGGACAGTAGTTCGTGAGAACACGGAATAATCACATATTTCCTTACGAAATATTTTATCAGCATGCCTGATTTGAACTTCGGCATAGACGCATCGCTTGATACGAGTACATTGAAATGTTCAAATCATTTATCAGCATTCATAAATGAACGTACCTACTTTAGTTAGTTCATTTCAAAGTATATATCAGTTTTAAACTAACACGAAATGTAATCTTTTCACAAAAAAAAATTACGAACAAAAAAAAACCAAGTTAATCGGCAGAAGCTTTCTCTAGTAATAAATTTGCTATTCAAATATGTGAAGAGGAGAAAGAATATTAGACATTGTCAAAAAAAAAAACAACACTGTATCGCATAGCATATATTTATAGGGCTTTTTATCCTAAAGCTAAATATTTAATAAAATATTCTGCCTTCCATTTTATACGCATGTATACGGTTAATATGCGGAATCATACGGTGATACCAAATGATTCCGCATATTAACTCAATTTCGAATATTTTTGGAGATTGTACACTTTTAATGCGAAAAGACGACACGTGTCTTAAGTTTAGCACGTAATATATGTACGTTGTCAAACTATATAGTATCCCAATCGACAAAAATAACCAGCTAGCCGTGATAATTAGTGAATAGATATTACACATATTACTGGAATAATTTAGTTGTTCTTGTTGTTCTTGATAACATAACGCATTTACAGATAACAACAACATCTTGAACGATTTAAATTAATCTTAATATGAAGTTGAATTGACCTTTAATTTTATAAAGAACAACGACATATGTAACGTTTAAAAATTGTTATTGTTAATATTAGGTATTTCATTTGTACAAAGCTAATTAAAATCAACCGAAACCTTCGACATTATGCCTTTGATTTTTAGTGGAACCATGTTTTCTTCCTAACACATATACTTTCAAACGAAATACTTGCAGTATTCCTGCCTTAATGGCAAACATAACATAAGAAGAATATTCATGTAAATTCAATAACAAAAAAAGTTCAATCCTTCAATTTGTAATCCTACTCTTGATTTTCTGTGTAATGTGAGTAGCTGCGGCTCAACCTCTGTTACATCGAACACTAGAATACGTAGATTAGAATGTAGAACATACGATTAAGTATTATATATAAATGAGTCGACTATTATCAAAGGCGGCAATCTGACTTTTGGACAATGATTGGTAAATCAGAAAAACGAATTATTGACTTTGTGTTCCATCGGCAGTCACAAAACTCTTCGGAACGACATCTTAGATAAATAACAGGTTTACTATTAACCTTTATTTAATTCAGGTTTTGAACCGTATTCTTTGAAGGAGACGATTATATTCAAATCAATCTGTATTGACATATCAATAAAATTTTTTTGTCCAAATGCACAGATTGCCACCTTTGATAATAGACGACTCAAATATGTATTAAGGTCGTTGTAGTCCAAAGTAAACTAAAGTTCAAAACACACGATGTACTCATATGAAGCGTATTCGGCTCCCGAATAAATACGTATCTAAAACTGCGCACGACTTCAACGTACTATGCAAAAAAAAATATGGTAATTTTATATTATTTTCGTATGTAACGGATGTGACGTCAGCTGTCATGCCCTGCCGCCAGCTAAGCCGCCAAGCCATATTAACACGCCCCCTTCCGCCACAGCCACCGCCACCGCCGCCAGCCAAAGCCAACGAAGGGGGGATAGTGTTAATAAAACAAGCCGTGCCAGCCATTTCTACCTGCTTTCTGCATTCTCGCACAAATAAAAGAACTTGTCGTTACGCTGCTGGTTTTTATTGTCACATCATTTGCAACACGTAATTACTGATGGTAGGGCCTAGTTTGAGCATCCACTAGTAGAAACCCCCATCGTGCCTATTGCTACCGAGAAGTAATCATCAGTAAGAGCATATGAATTAAACAATACAACTGAGATTAGGATCTTATGTCTCAAGTTGGCATTTTGGTTGTAATGGCTTCGGGATCCGGTAACCTGATGGTAGACTTGTCAAAGTCAAAAGATCGATTATTGAAAGCCAACCACAGATTTTTTCCCACAGAGGGCGATCCAAAAAGTGGTAGAAATGGATTGACGCCCTCTGGCATATAGATTGCATTTTAGGATTTCCAAAGCAATCTGTGGTTTGGTTATTAAAACAGTTTTGTAATTTTTGGATTGAAATTTCGATCCGAGATCACTGAAAAAAGATCGAGGATACGTTATTGAGACCGGCCGCAAGTGGGAAGCACGCTTGTGCTACGATACAAAAAAAAAAGGCATCTGCATGCATATATAGTCTGTGACTGAGTTATGTGTCAAGTAAGTTCGTAGTATTAAGACAGCTCGAAATGTAAGCGGACTCTCAGTAAGCACGTTGAAGTCGCACGGGAAACATCTAATGAACGTTTATCGTTTAAATTAATTGTTTAATTAACGTAAGTACTCAAATATTTTGAATTAATGTTGTTTGTTATATCTTCGTAACAATTAAAAATGATATTGTAATGTTCTGTTTTTTGGAGTCGATGCTAGACAAGAAAAATTATAAGAATTAACAATTACGAGTAAAACTAGTTCCACCGACCGGAACCGGCTGAAACAGGCCGAAACCTGCTTTACTGAATTTGTCTGACAGGAAATAAATATTTTATATCTTACAATTTAACAGGCTGATGATTTTGATTTATAAATCTAATTTATTATAAAAGAAAGAACATAATATTCCTAAATAACTTAAAAGTACATGTTATTATCCGCAACACGCTTCGTCAGATTACAGAAATAGAGTTATCAGCAACATGCTTCGTCAAAAAGTACAATACTTACTTTATATCTTTCACTTCAACATATTCAACTTACACAATGTTATTTTTAATTTTTTTTGTGAGTTTATCAAATATTTTTTATCTTGGTTTATCTTTTAGCCCAATGATCGAAATATGACCACAATTGCTGAAACGTCAAGATTTTAATTTATTCTACGTATTGATTTTTTTTTCTTTTATGTTGTTAATGACATTTCTAAAAAATAAAAACTGCTTATTGTAAAACTGAGTAACAAAAACGTTTTATTGATACAATTAAAGTGTGTCAATAGCTATTAAAAATAAATAATCGATCGACAAACAAAAGAGAAAATGTTTTTCTTTTTCTAAAAAAAAATAACTGAATATCTCCGAAGTATTTTGTTGATTAACACTAAAGTTCTTCGATAGTTACTAAAAAGAAAGAAAATCGGATGACGAAAAAAAGGGTCAATTGTACTTAACTGTTTTTTATTTATTTATTTATTTATTTACACTTCATGTAAAATTTACATTGGCGGACTTAATGCTTAAGGCATTCTCTACCAGTCAACCAAAGGTAGTGCAGAGTAAATAGTGGTAGGTGCAATGAAATTTATATTAGGTAACGAATACATACAAAAAAAGTATATCTACATATATACAAAATCACATATACATATACATACATACATACATAAATAAATATATACACCCATACATACATATAATAGTTTATACAGTATTAAAAGGAATATATTAATAAATTTCCTTAACAAATAACTTCATCTTAATAAGTTAATGACGATTCCGCTAACTTTTCCAACAGCATTCGCCGAACCCTTAACTTGAACGTGCAGCGGTTAGTAATAGTCCTGATCTCGAGAGGAAGCGCATTCCATAGCAGAACAGATTGCACGACGAAAGAGTTACGAACATAACTAGAACTATGTGTGGGACAACGAATTAATAGGCTATTGAGAGAACGTAGGGCCCGCTCATGGCTGGAGTGAAGATATTGAAAATAGGAAGTTAGATAGGAAGGAGGTTCGGGAGACATAAGTAAGGAATGAAGAGTCGTCAGTGCACGTAAATTACGACGCTGGCGAATCGGTAGAAGTTTGAGCTGAGCACGATAGGAAGATATATGATCATATTTACGAAGATTAAAAATAAATCGAATGCAGTTATTAAGAAGACGATCAAGTTTATTAAGAAGGTCTGCATTCAGGTCAAAATAACACACATCACCATAATCAATTATAGGGAAGATCAAGGCTTGTACTAGCATAGTCTTGGTCGCTGATGGTAAGAAATTCTTGAGGCGATACAGAGCACGAAGAATTCCAGAGGTTCTTTGTCCAACGTAAGATACTTGAGCTTTCCAGTCGAGTGTGGAGTCTATGTAAAGGTCTATGTAAAATGACATAGTAGTTAAGCGTTGGATCATACGAGGACTGCCCACAATAATGGCTTGGCATTTCGTTGGATTCACAGTTAAGCCAAACTTAGTTGACCAACTACTTATGTAGTCCAGATCCCTATTTAACTGGTTTATTGCCTGAGAAATAGACTCCACAGTCGTCTGTCTATAAAGCTGCAAGTCATCAGCATACAGATGATACGCACACTGAAGATTATGTGTTAAGAAATTTATAAAAATAGAAAATAATAATGGAGACAAAATACCGCCCTGGGACACGCCAGAGGTGACACTACACCAACTTGAAGAGGTATCATCAATACGAGTACACTGCTGGCGTCCCCGAAGATATGATGAAAACCATTCCAGTGCTGTAGGAGAGATCATAATATAGGACAAAATAGATAGGAGGATATCGTGATTGACGGCATTGAACGCATTTGAAAAATCAATTAGTACCAGTACTGTGACTTTAGTGTCTTGCATACCTGTCCTAATGTCGCCAACCACTTTAAGGAGAGCGGAAACGGTGGAGTGACCTGGTCGGAAGCCAGACTGGTAAGGGCTCAATAGGTTGTTCCGGAAAATAAACTGCGACAATTGTTTGTGTACGCAGGCCTCGATCACCTTGGATAGAAAGGGAAGAATAGATATGGGCCTGAAGTGATTTGGAAGGGAAGGGTTAGGAATTTTAGGTAAAGGAAGAACATAAGCCTTACGCCACAATGAAGGAAAAGAGCCTGATGATAGGGAAAAATTTGTGATGTGCCATATAGCTGGCAGAAGATGATCCAGGATTGTGACGATCATACGGCGACTTATATTGTCACAACCCACGGCGTTCGATTTTATGGACAGGATAATATTTTTGATCTCATCCACAGCAACCGAAGAAAATTCAAAGGAGTCAACATTAAGTCGAGACAAACCATTCAGGTAGTTCAAGGTGCGACATTTCGTTTGATTATTTAGTGGTGTAGCAGAGGAGAAATGAAAGTTGATGTCATTCAAACTTATCGTCGCCTGAAAATCAGAGTGACGCTGTCTGCCAATACCCAGAGTTCCAAGGAATTTCCAAATATCGGCAGGCGAAGCGGAATTTATGTTTTCTAGAATGTGGCGTCGTTTAGCGTTACGTATCATCTGATTGCACCGGTTCCTCGACACTTTAAATTTAGTCCAGTTATCATTACACCGATTCCTCCTAAATTTTCGAAAAGCCCGATCCCGGCGCCTCATAGCCATCCGAATACCTTCAGTCATCCAAGGAGCTGGTGGGCGTTTCAGTTTAATTTTTCTGATAGGCGCATGAGTGTTGTAAAGCCCAAGGACAACCTCATTGAATATGTGAACCTTTTCATCTACCGAGGGTGAAGATATTAGTTGGTCCCAGTCCACTTTAGAAGCGTCTTTGCATAGATTTTCCTTATTCATACGACCAAAACTACGCATGGACAAAACCCTGGGCTGTGGTTTAGGAGGTTTAATCGTATAGGATAAAAAGATGAGGTCGTGATGGGAAAAACCAGGAGCAGGATATTGACCGTGAGTGGGTACAGAGGTAGGAGTGGAGGTCAGCATTAGGTCTAGCCAAGTATCATCGCCATTAATGTTGTGGTGAGTAGCCTGTAGAGGCAAGACATGAAGACCAGTAGACCTAATGATTTCCTGAAGTTTACGGGAACGAGAGGATAAAGGAGCTATGAAGTTGGTGTTGAAATCTCCCATGATAATGTGATGTGAATAATCTGACCCTAAAGATTCCAGAATCGGCTCGAGACTGGAGAAGTAGTCGACGTTGGGGGGACAGTATACGACACCGAGAACAATTTTTGCTCCCTTCATAGAAATTTCAAGAAAGAGATATTCCACAGGTGTAGAAGAATCAGCAGACGAGCAAGCTATTGTTTTATAAGAAATGTTACTGCGGAGATATATAGCAACGCCGCCCCCTCGGGCATCGATACGATCATTCCGTATTAAAGTAAAGCCATCGAGAGGGTAGATAGCAGAAGGTAAATGAGGCTTAAGCCAACTCTCAGAAATCAAGACAGCATGAACGTTAGTGTTAGTGAAAGTAATGAATAAGTCATTGTAGTGACTTGGTATACTTTGAGCATTAATGTGACATACATTTAAAAGGCAGTCAGATGATTTATCAAACGTCTGCCGTATACAGTCTCCAAGGGAATCGGGAAGTGAACAATAACTATCGTTATCAGATGACAGCATAGAATCATTAGCAGAAAGAAACGAATCATCAATACATTCCATTGTATACAAATTAAATATAACAGAATAATATAACTATAACTATACTATTATAATAAAATAAATAAATAAATATATAAAATAAACTAAAATAAATATAACTATACTACCATAAAATAAAAATAAGGATTAAGTTTAAAAGTAATGCACGCGCAATGTCTCTGCACCACCCGCCAGCTGATATACACAGGATGATGAAACAAAAAAAATATTACAATACCTTATAAAACAGAAACAGAAAATAAAGAATATTAATAACGAAAAACATAACAAAGGCCATAATTTACAATAAAAAGAAACAATTAATTAGAATAATGAAGATCAATCACAAATCTCCACAACAATATTCTGATTAAAACTTCAAAAAAGTAAACTACAAGGCAAATTTTATCTGTGATCGCAGTCAATTAAAACAGTCTGTCAAGTGTCAAATTTACAGAATTAATTATTTTAACAAGACTACCCACAGACACATTAACATTTGCCAATGACAATATTATACTCCGTGATGCCACTAATCTACCCACGAAACATATCAACATCAACAATACGTGAATAAAAGTAAAAGTGAAAAATAATAAATCCAATGATAAATATTTAAATCATGAAATCATAAATTGTGAAATGAAAATAATGATATACATACGTTGTGAAGTCATAAGACTAAATATATTAGTGAAAGTCGAATAATCGTAATTAAAGTGAAAAAAAAAAAACAAAAACACAAACACAGGCCACTAGGTCTTCCGCAATTTCGAGTTCACAGTGATAGCCGGTGCCGCCTTAGAGACGCTGCCCTTAGCTGATGTTGGCTTACCATCCACAATAGGTCACTAATCCATAGTGGTCAATCTGTGACGATTTCCATCCGCAGCCTTGATAATAATGACCCCGTCTTGCATCCAACATTGACGCACACCAAAATATTGACGGCTCTTGCCGAACACCGCCTGTCGAGATTTTCTTCCTATTCTACACTTCCTATTTATATTTGGATTCTGACTTGTTCCAACTCCAAAAAAATGTAATTAAGACAGTTGTTAGGTATCTGTGGTGTTGAGCCAACGAGCAGGATGACCTAGTACAATGCGACTATTTTTAAATAATTACTATAATTAGATAGATGGTTGGTATTAAGATCTGCTATTAGCCGGTTACGGGGGTTCGTGGCATCACAAAAGGAAAGCACCATCCACTTTGACACATGCAGTCAATCTTTCAATTTTACAAAGACTTCCACCCTTCAAACTGAAATGTACGTATGATTCCTTCACGGTAGAAATGTATAGGATTTAAATGAGGACTTAAAATATTCTCTACTCTCAGTGCATGTGATTCGGCTGATTTAATACTTAAAGAAGACATTTTACAGTGAATACAGTCGTCGACTTTGAGGACACACGAAATTAGAAGAGGTTAGATGTTACTATTCCATACGTCCATCAGCCGCACTGATCACTTACCATTAGATCGGAGGCACACTCGTATGTCTACAAAAAAATAATTAGTAAATAAATAAAATTAGTAATGGTTCTTTGTCGCATTATTTCTTTCGAATCAACTTCAACCGCATTCCAGTACAATGATTTTGACAATAATGATTTCTGTTTTATTGAATCAGCTTTAAACAGATCAACACTGTTCACAGGATGTCAGAGGAAGTTTTGGATTTTGAACGAGAATATTCACCGAGTCGTTGGTCACCACGATTCTCAACCCCAGAACAAGTATTACAAAATCACGTAAAATTAGTTACCGAAGGTATTTATTGGTATTTTTTTTTATGGCTCGAGTCTTTTCTTTGACGAATGACTCTGCCAATGTCAGGTACCAGGTATAGAATATCAGTGATATAGATAGATGGTAGCAGATGAGATGAATGAGAACTGCAGAAAAATTGTAAATATTTTTACAGTTTAATGTTATTGCGGGAAATAAAATAAGTTAATGCATTTACAACTTTAGGATTAGGGAATGTTAAGAGATAGTTCATATTAATTGGGAACGGGATGTTAGTGTTAGCTAGTAAACAATATAGTGGTGGGCAATCTTTTTTATTTTTTTATTGCTTAGATGTGTGGACGAGCTCGCAGCCCACCTGGTGTTAAGTGGTTACTGGAGCCCATAGACATCTACAACGTAAATGCGCCACACACCTTGAGATATAGTTCTAAGGTCTCAGTATAGTCACAACGGCTGCCCCACCCTTCAAACCGAAACGCATTACTGCTTCACGGCAGAAATAGGCGGGACGGTGGTACCTACCCGTGCGGACTCACAAGAGGTCCTACCACCAGTAATTACGCAAATTATAATTTTGCGGGTTTGATTTTTATTGCACGATGTTATTCCTNGCGCCACACACCTTGAGATATAGTTCTAAGGTCTCAGTATAGTCACAACGGCTGCCCCACCCTTCAAACCGAAACGCATTACTGCTTCACGGCAGAAATAGGCGGGACGGTGGTACCTACCCGTGCGGACTCACAAGAGGTCCTACCACCAGTAATTACGCAAATTATAATTTTGCGGGTTTGATTTTTATTGCACGATGTTATTCCTACACCGTGGAAGTCAATCGTGAACATTTGTTGAGTACGTATTTCATTAGAAAAATTGGTACCCGCCAGCGAGATTCGAACACCAGTGCATCGCTCGATACGAATGCACCGGACGTCTTATCTTTTAGGCCACGACGACTTTTAAATTCATCATTAAGAGCGCATTCCAGAAAGATATGATCTAAAGATTCAGTTAAATTGAGCGCTGAGGAATTAATTAATTGACATGATCCTCCTACCATATCTCCTTTACTACCATACCAAACGTCACCTAAGCAAAGTTCATCCCTATAATTTGGAATCGCGTTCTTGAACAGTGCGTAATTTTTGCTACCTACCCTCAGACTTGGGAATGAACCAAAAGAGCCGGTAGGTACCGACATAGCTGTATCTCTAGCGTATTTAATCTCTGTGGGCATAGTAACTTATTACCACAACGTGGGCTGTAATCTATGTATGACAATAAAACATTATTTTATTTTTACATTCAGTCAATTATAAAAAGAACTAAAAGTTATATGGCCTGTTTAATATGCTTGTGTCGGCTGTGAAAAAACTACCCTCATTCGGTACTGGAGATTATTTTTTATTTATTATGATGATTGATTGAATGGGCTACCCTATTAATTAGAAAATATTCGGTTGATTTCATAATGCTTTTGTATGTAAAATTAACAGTAGTAATAAAACATATAGTCAGCAGCAATGGCATAAAAATTATATTTGTGACTACAATCAAAGCGACTGTATTGTAAAATTATGGTTAGTTAAGTTTATTGCAAACTCGCTCGGTATGAATGCTGCAATTAAAATTTTAATCCATAATAAACCTTAGAGCATATTGTTATAGTACTTGACAATATCTACCTATGGACAGTTGTAGCTTATATGTCATAATAATTATCCATGGTCGAGCGCTACTAAGCTCTGTACATGGAATGGTCTGAAATATTCAATAATGAATAAATTGATTTTTAATTAAGTATGAAGTCGTCAATATGACACCAACTCGTTAGAGAATCTAAATGGGGCGCAAACAGAAAAAGCTAGTGTCATCCACAGCTATACAGGGGACCCAGTAGAAAACCCTGAGCCGTGCCTCGACTCTTAAAAATGAGTGCACTTCAGATGTCAATTTTCACGGTGAAGGTTCGGTTTTTAAATAATTCGAACAACAAGCCAGCAACACTCGCCTTGTCTCAGATGTTTTCATCAATCCTTGCTTCATCAAAAGCTCGGATGTGGGATTTTGAGAGACCTGATTTTTATCAGGTTCGAATCTTAAATGTCGCAGCTGCCGTCTTCGCACGTAGGGGGAGTCTGGTTATATCCCAATGACTTAAAAAAAAGTCAGTAGCGGGCCACATATACCGCTATCATCCAATCTGTCGGTTAATCAATTATGTTCTAATATTGAGCTAGAAACCTCTGAGAAATCAATATAGAGAGAAACAACTTGTTTTTTTCATATTTAAATGCCTATAATACTTTAACGAGATTAGACAAAAGGACTAGTTTCCCAGTTCGTCAAATCAAATCGATTTATTACAATGTATTTCCTATAAAATATATTTGATACATTTACATGAACTGTTTTAACTATAATGCGAACAGTATCACAACACGTTACTTTTAATGTAATTTGCTTTTAAGAATTATTATTATTAGACCAACTATTTTTAGATCTTCCGGAAATAGAACACTTTCGATATGCAGCTGCTCTATTACTAATATCACTGCAGATCCGCTTAATTTCCTATGACATCGATTGGTAACCTTAAGGCTGCCCAGTGTAACATTACTTGCTGATCAATATAATTATTCTTAGCGACTAGTAAGCTCAAATCACATTTCAACCGACGACGATTCGATCGACGAAAACATTACGGAACTGACTAAAAAATCTAAGAAAAACTTTCAAATTTTATTAGTAATAATAATAATATTAATATAATAACTGAAAATAAGTGACATACAGCCATCTGGGCCTACACTAGGATTATCTATATTACTAGCGTGCCCGTCCGCTTTGCTGGGCATTTAAAATTAACATTATTATTTCTCACCCCCTATAAAAATTCTCATCATTAACGCGCCCGAAACTAGTGTAAGGAGTCTAACACTCATATAAATATTAGCCTATCCATTAAGCACATGTATTTTACTGGTGGTAGGGCCTCTTGTGAGTCCGCACGGGTAGGTACCACCGCCCCGCCTATTTCTGCCGTGAAGCAGTAATGCGTTTCGGTTTGAAGGGTGGGGCTGCCGCTGTAACTATACTGAGACCTTAGAACTTATATCTCAAGGTGTGTGGCACATTTACGTTGTAGATGTCTATGGGTTCCAGTAACCACTTAACACCAGGTGGGCTGTGAGCTCGTCCACATATCCAGGCAATAAAAAAATAAAAACACATGGATACCAAGTTTCAAGTCAATCGGATGCATGGTTCAGTAGTTATAACGAAACATCCGTAAAAACCACTGTAGATTTATATATTAGTATACCTAGTCAGGTCATAAATTCTGTCACATGTTTAATGTAAAATAATTGAAACAAGTTTATTCATTATGTAACCATTCATATACCAAAATGAACTTAACAAAACATAGATTCTTATGACACTAAAGTTTATTCAAAATGACCTCCGTGATTTTGAATACAGGCCTTCAATCTGCGCGGCCAGTCGTCTATCGCAGCACGAACGAGGTCCATGTCAATATCGGCGGCTGCCTTAATCAAGGATGTCTTGAGTGACTCCAAATTGGGATGAGGCTTTGAGCACGCCTTTTCCTCCAAGTGTTGCCATATCTTGTAATCTAACGGATTCAAATCTGGACTGGAGGAGGGCCAGTCTTCGTGCCGGATGAAGTCGATTTCACGCGCCGCCAGCCAGTCTTGTGTGCTCTTCGCTCTATGAGCTGGCGCCGAATCTTGTTGGAATACCCAGTGCCTGTTATTGAACATGGTATGAGAAACAGGTTCCACAAGGTTCGTCAGGACTGTATTTTGATACACAACTGCATTCGTTTTTACACCTTTCTCACAAAAATGTACCTCTGTTAAGCCCCAATAAGAAACTCCCAACCATACCATGAGCGAGGATGGAAAATGACCTCGTTGGACACGCGGAATACGGTTGCTCGCTTCTTCACTACTGTGTGCGTACACCTTATCATTTTGTTTGTTGTAGCTCTCTTCTACGGTAAAAATTTTTTCATCCGAAAAAAGAATTTCCCGATATTTTTTTCCCGCGTACCGCTTCAACAAAGCGCGGCATCTCTTCAGTCTCAGGTCCATTAGACGAGCATTCAAACGATGTCCTGTTTTTCTTCGATATGCCCGAAGCCCTAAGTCTTCATTTAACACCCTTTTCACCGTGGTTCTGCTTAACCCCATCTGAAGGGCCAACAGTTTCTGCTTACGTTTGGGATTTCTTTGAATTCGCGCCTTCACAGCTTTTATCACTGCTGGAGTCCTAACAGACCGAGGGCGACCACTTCTTGACCTGTCATCTACACTAGAGTCTTCATTGTATCGTTTGATGGTACGATAAACGAATCTTTTGGTTATATTCAAATTTTTCAGTATGTTAAAAATTTGAATTGGCGCGTAACCGCAACGATGCAACGCAATAACTGCAACACGGTCTTCTTTAAGCGTCCACTTCATATTTAAAAATGAGTAAAATTCTAAAAGTATACATTTTTATTTTCATGAACAATTCGAAATTCGAATTCAATAAACTTTTTTGTGGCCAGCATTCTAAAAAAAGTTTTTACTGTGTGACAATACTTATGACCTGACTAGGCAGATAGGACCCAGATATCGATGTACATATTTATATACGACTAAATACCTACATAAATAGATATTACACGACCAGACAAAGAGAAAACAAACCTGTTCATCACACGAATGTTTGCCTGATCTGGGAATCGAACCCATGACCCTCGACACAGTAGTCTAGGGCGCAAACTACTGCACCACCGAATCAGTCATTAGAGCCTTTAATTATTAATCGATCTACGAACTAAAAGTATTTGTTTGGAGTATCTGAACAAAGGCACAGTCACATTTCTTGATACGAGTAGTCTGGGCACTTTATCCTTTTAACTTCAAACGACATCAAACAACGCACACCACGCTAACGCTCTTATTACCATATTATAATTTTCTTTTTTATTGCTAGATGGGAGGACGAGCTCACAGCCCACCCGGTGTTGAGTGGTTACTAGAGCCCATAGACATATACAGCGTAAATACGCCACCCACCTTGAGATATAAGTTCTAAGGTCTCAAGCATAGTTACAACGGCTGCCCCACGGTAGGATTGTGGTACCTACCCGCGCGGACGCACAAGAGGTCCTACCACCAGTAATTACGCAAATTATAATTTTGCAGGTTTGATTTTTATTAAACGATGTTACTCCTTCACCGTGGAAGTCAATAGTGAAGAATTTACTAAGATTAAAATCTTATTTCAGCTAGCCTAGATGCAGTCATTAAAATACCTCATGAACTGGATATAGAATATGGACCCACATCTGGACAGAAACTCGATATTTTTGGAACGGACCTTCCAAATGGTAAGCCAAATGTTTTGATAACAATTTGAAGACAACCGTGGCTTAAAGGATAAGACGTTTGGTGTAATTGTATCGAGCGATGCTACTATGGGGTGCTGTAATCTCACAGACCGACAGACACAGCCCACTGAGTTTCTCGTCGGACCTTCTCAGTGGGTCGCGTTTCCGATCCGGTGGTAAATTCTGCGAAGAACTGCTCTTGCTAGGGTCAGTGTTAGCAACTTCGCCAGGTTTGAGCCCCGTGAGCTCACCTACTCGCTCGGTCACGTTGACATAGCCTCTCAAGCTATCAGCTTAGGTAGGAAAAAAAATCACCGGCAGGCATTTTTGTAATGAAATATGTAATTTAAATATGTTGACGAACGACTTCTACGATGAAGCAATATTGTGTTTTATAGTAATTAATACATTTGGCCCATATCCGTAACTCAGAAGTTGTCTCTCGTAATCACTTAGACCCAGATGGGTCGTGAGTTGGTCCATCCGATAAAGGAATTAAAAAAGCCAAGCAGGGCACATGATCGTCCACGATATTAATGAAATATAAAGGCAATTAGAGTTCCATAGTCTTCATTTTTCTTTCAAGTCTAATAGCCGTGTCAAATGCGAGTAATACTTGTAATTAACTTAAAATAGGACATTAGAAGTAAGACGCTTCGACTTGATATCGACTTGAAAATGTTTCCTAAATGTAATTATCTCTTGAAAAGGTCCCAGTGGATTTAGATGTGAGCCCACGCTTTATTTAATACAAACTCTATTCAAATAATCCAGTATTCAGTGTAAACTTTAATAAAGATTGCACATAAACTTGAAACTGTTTATTTTAGACAATATCAAATGAAACTGAATAAAGGTATCGACAAAGTTTGCCAGTATTTTTATGTGTTCGTAGTCTTATTTGATTTCATAAAACAATACAACGCGCAATAATAAAAACTTGAAGATTTCAGTAGGCCTTACAATACAGATGGGTATTTTCATTGTAGATGCTCGGATATTCGTTTACGTCCACGGTGGATACTGGCAGGAACTTTCCCGAGAAATATCCAGATATCCAGTGAAACCGTTTTATCGAGGTGGAATCAAAACGATAATTATAGGTTATGACCTGTGCCCTACGGTTACGCTCGGAGAGATCATCAAAGAGATACAGAATGCTGCTAAATACGTCTTCGAATACGCTGAAAAAATGAACTCTAGGTGAGATGAGACGGTTAGATTATAAGACTAATGACCCGTGAACGATCGATAATAGCCTCGATGCTTTTGACGTTGCAAAAAGCGATTGTTTTTTTTGTTATTGTGATCGGCTTTGAAGAACCAATATAAGTGGAAAAAAAAAGAATTATAATCTGTTATTATTGTAATATAGTATTGTAAATGCTTTTGATAAAGATGTTTAACCTCTCCACAGTCTCATATCAAATGTCAATTTTAAAATTAATTTTGCAACATCAAACCAAACATAGGGTTTTTTTAACAATATAAAATCAACAATAAGTATAATATAATATAATAAGTATAATAATGTAGGATTGGTAAGAACGGAACGCATCAAAAGAGTGTGAAACGGAACGTTAAGATGTGAATGAGAGAAAACAGAAAGGGGAAAGAGAATGACAGAGAAAAGGAAGACGGTTAAAAAATGAGCAAGGCGTAATAATAGTGTTAATTAATTTTTAAATGAGGTTTGAAGGGTGGGGCAGCCGTTGTAACTATACTGAGACCTTAGAACTTATATCTCAAGGTGGGTGGCGCATTTACGTTGTAGATATCTATGGGCTCCAGTAACCACTTAATATCAGGTGGGCTGTGAGCTCGTCCACACATCTTAGCAATAAAAAAATAATAAAAATAATAATAATAATTATAGAACAGAAGATTTTGAAACAGTGGATGTTTTATTTTATGCGCTGCGATCGCTATTCTACAATAATATATAGTCAACTATAAGTGTTCGCTGTAAAACGATTAGAATTGCTACTAAACTACGCCCTACGTAGAATTTACTCTCGATTTGTCCACAGGGGCTTATATTTTGCTGGGCATTCGGCTGGAGCTCACCTCGTTTCGAAAATACTTGATAACGCAGAATTACTTCAGAATACCTCCGGCTCTAATCGGCTCCATGGTGTATTTCTCATCTCTGGAGTTTACGATTTACGTGATCTAATCAAGACAACTGTAAATGCTCCTTTAAAATTGAATGAAACAACGGCTGCCGCATTTTCACCGATTCTAAGCAATTATCAACATATACGGGACAGTGATGTGTTTGACAAGATACGGGTGCACATCATAGTCGGAAAACATGACAGTCCCACATTTCAGAAGCAGTCCAGGGATTTTTGGAAAGTTCTGCAATCGAATTTCGGTGTGAATGCTTACCTAGACATTATGGAAAACTTGGATCATTTCGACATAGTCGAAGCGCTCGGAGAACTTGAAAATTACTTGAAATTTTTTATATCAAACTGTTTCTGTGATTAAAGTACATTGATATTTAAATAGCTTTACATGTAAATTAATACAATAAATATTGCCTAAGCTGTTTCAACTAACGTGATTGTATTTAATTCAACCAAAGAAATTCGTTAGTGCATGGTTGCTATTCGCGTCGAGATCGAGGCGACCGGGTTGCGGTACCTCGGTCTCATACTGGACGGTCGTTGGAGCTTCCGCGCTCACTTTGAGAGATTAGGTCCCCGACTGATGGCGGCCGCCGGCTCGCTGAGTCGGCTGTTGCCGAACGTCGGGGGGCCTGACGTGGTGGTGCGCCGCCTCTACACGGGGGTGGTGCGGTCGATGGCACTGTACGGGGCTCCCGTGTGGTGCCACGCCCTGACCCGCGACAACGTTGCGGCGTTGCGACGTCCGCAGCGCGCGATTGCGGTCAGGGCGGTTCGTGGATACCGCACCGTCTCGTTCGAGGCGGCGTGCGTGCTAGCTGGGACGCCTCCCTGGGACCTGGAAGCGGAGGCGCTCGCTGCGGATTACGCGTGGCGATGTGATCTCCGCTCCAGGGGGGAGCCGCGTCCCGGCGCGGCGGAAGTTCGAGCGCGGAAGCTTCAATCTCGGCGTGCCGTGCTCGAGGCGTGGTCTCGCCGCCTGGCGGACCCCGCCTACGGGCGACGGACCGTCGAGGCGATCCGCCCGGTCCTCTCGGACTGGGTGAATCGCGACCGAGGACGTCTCACCTTCCGAGCGACGCAGGTGCTCACGGGACACGGCTGTTTCGGTCGCTACCTACACCTCGTCGCCCGGAGGGAGCCGACGCCGAAGTGCCACCACTGCAGTGGCTGCAACGAGGACACGGCGGAGCACACGCTCGCGTACTGCACCGCTTTCGCGGAGCAGCGCCGCGTCCTCGTTGCAAAAATAGGACCGGACTTGTCGCTTCCGACCGTCGTGGCTACGATGCTCGGCAGCGACGAGTCCTGGCAGGCGATGCTCGACTTCTGCGAGTCCACCATCTCGCAGAAGGAGGCGGCGGAACGGGAGAGGGAGAGCTCTTCTTCCCTCTCGGCGCCGTGCCGCCGCCGTCGGGCCGGGGGTCGGAGGAGGGCGTTTGTCCAGCTCCAGCCCCTATGAGGAGGCAGTCTCCTCCCGGTGATGGTCACGGGGCGACCTAAGGGGGTTGAGGCTGCGCCGCACGCTACCGTCACTCTAGCGCGCTGGCACCAGGAGGACGGGACGGCGCGTCGGCGACTGCGGACTGCGATGCGGTCCGCATTTTCGTCGTCGCTGTCGTCGCCGAACATACTGTTGAAGAGCAACCCGGTCGGCGGTGTATCGCGTTCCGACCCGGCAGGCTGGTTCTGGCCCAGCGGGGTATCCCGGAACACCAGCGGCACCGCCCGGGCAGCCTGGTAGGGCCGCCGTACCGCGGAGACTGACGTCGTTGGTCGTCGACTATCGCCTCGACGACCCGTCAGTCGGGCGTCCTCGGGGTGGCGCCGCGTGTCTGGTTGTAGTGTTGACCGCGGGAACCCCCCTACTCTGAACGGCTTCTGACCCCGGACGGAGATCGGACGTCGGGTGTAAGAGTGCAGGGGAGTCGTTTAGTGGGTGGGCCCTAAAATCCTTGGGCCCGCGATCTGCTCTCAACACCTGCAGATCGTTGAGTCTCACATACCCCGCGCGCCCCCTAGGCGCGGGGACCTCGTAGGAGTTCGGTCCCGGCCCCAAAAAAACAAAAAAAAAAAAAAAATGGTTGCTAAATCTAAGTCCCCAACACCACATTTCATTTATTCTTCTTCTCTTCACCTCTTGATTCAAATGAGTTTATACAGAATGTATTAGAAATATTCTAGAAAACTGCATTGGATAGTAAAGCAAGTGATTGTTGGCACTAAATATTCTGCCGTGAAGCAGTAATGCGTTTCGTTTTGAAGGGTGGGGCAACCGTTGTAACTATACTGAGACCTTTTTTTTTTTTTTATTGTAGGCAGACGGGCATACGGCCCACCTGATGGTGAGTGGTTACCATCGCCCATGGACTTCAGCAATGCCATGGGCAGAGCCAAGCCGCTGCCTACCGCTTAATACTCTCCACAAGCCTCGTTTGAAGAAGGACATGTCATAGCGCTCGGGAAACACCGTGGAGGGGAGCTCATTCCATAGCCGGATGGTACGTGGCAAAAAAGATCTCTGGAAACGCAATGTGGATGACCTCAGTGGCTCCAGGTAGTATGGATGAACTCTACTCCGGTGGCGGGCGGTGCGATGGTAAAAACGAGATGCTGGTATCATCTCGAACAATTCCTCAGAGCACTCCCCATGGAACATACGGTAAGAGAACCTTAGAACTTATATCTCAAGGTGGGTGACGGCATACGTTGTAGATGTTTATGGGCTCCGGTAACCACATAACAGTAGGTGGGCTGTGATATGCATTAAAAAAATGCAAAAAATATAAGCAATATTTTTGGATTGCACGCAATGTATTAAAAATAAAAATCAAATAACCGGTGGAATACACGGTCTCGAGGAAAGGCGGAGGGCGCCTACCCACTACCTTGTAGCTAGTTACATTACGGGCATTAACGTACTTGTTATTATAAATAAATATTGTTTTACGCTAACATTAGCGTTAACGTTTTTTACGTTTCGGCCAAAGTTCTCTTTACGCTGGTGTGAAAACGCGTGAAAATGTGTGTGTTCAATGGCGAATTGCGTGGAAAGTTGACTAAAAGTTGGATATTGCCAAGCGGCGTAGTGCCGTACCTCGTATCGCGTACTGGCGGCAGAACGCTACGCGACGCCGCGCTGGCCACACTCCGCGGTACTTCGCATCATGTGAACAACCAGAATGCGATCGCTAAAACTCGTAGGGACTAATGAATTTTAACTCGACAAACAGTATTAAACTATCGTATTAAACCTAAGTCGTTCGACTAAGAGCAATATTTAATATTTTCCTTAGTATTAAAAGTTTTTAAAATAGTTTTAGAAGTTTAATGTAGCTCAGGCTTTGTAACGTGTTTACGATAGCTGTAATTACTGTTGTGCTTGGCGTCTACTAACAATTTTCAAGGTAAGTTTAACGTAAATACGGTATATTTTTCTTCCTAACTACTGCTAAACATAGGTTACACAATAATAATAAGCATAAAATTTTAATATAAATAATTTATCGCAAACTTGACTTGGTTCTTTGAATTTAATTAACGGAAATTGAAAGAAAAAGCCAATCGTCTCTTACTAAATATAAAAACACGTGCAAACAGTGCATGAGTGCATCAGTGACAGGTAACAACGCAAAGACCTAATATGTGAATATTTTAAATTATTTTTTATTAATTTTTAACTTGCGTTCAATAGTTTGTCCAACATACATATTTCACAGAATATTTCAAAATAATTTCTTCCTAACTTCAAGACGTTCGTTTTAGTTGAAATCGTATGCGTACAAAGAACTGATGACAATACAATAATTTTCTTAATTTGGCCCAATGTCAGTATCACCAGAATTAAAATTGATTATTTTAATTTAATCGCTCTGCTTGCCATCAAATAGTGCTCTTTTAGTTTCTAAACTAAATGTTGTTAAGAACTAAATTAAAGCAGCGAAAACCACACAACATCATGTTCCTAAATTAAGAAACCAAAGAGATAGAATTAAAACTGTTTCGGAAAATTTAAACTGGCAACATTTATATAAACAAGAACTACTGATACATTAAATTCCAGAAAAAACAGAGCATTTACTATACAAAACCAAATCTAAAATAGACTCAAATACCTCATTGCACACACAAATAATTAAATTATTAATTTTCATATTTTCTTCGGTTTTCAAAACGCGTAGACCTAATTAAAACTACTCCAAAGTTTAATCTTACGTTTTTTTTCTTTTTTTCATTAAAGTATTCAATATTTAATTAGATAAACTCGATATGAAACCACAAAAACTGATTTAGTTTTGTTAATTTGGTTTCTTTCTCTATTTTTATGCATGAAAAAAAAATTACAAGATATAAAGTAGACATAGTAACTTGGAGACTTCAATCCTACGATAGATCAGAATCGGATTATCATCTCATCAAGATGTAATTACAAAATGAACTACGTAACTTTAGTTTAAGAGTATGATTCAAAACGCGCCAATACAACGCGGTGAAACAGGTTTATTAACATCAGAATGAAGATACAATACTATAGCTTGGAATGAATGGAAGCGTTCTCGAGTCGAGGACATGACGTCAAGCATAGGCGGAAACATATTCTACATACTATTGGTCAACATACTCTGGGAAGTGTTTCGACGACTTGATGGAATTTGACGATATCCAAATACTCGCTCAAATACAAATAAGAAAACAAATCGGCTTATCAAAATCGATCGCGGCCCTTTATCGATTAGTTTTAATTTTATAGTCAACTAGCGACCCGCCCTCGCTTCGCTTCGGAAACATGAAAACCAACATGAAACAAAAAAAAAATTAAAAAAATAATTAAAAAAGTAGCCTATGTTCATCAGGGACAGTGTCGGCTTCTAATGGAAAAAGAATTTTTCAAATCGGTCCAATAGTTTCGGAGCCTATTCGAAACAAACAAACAAACAAATCTTTCCTCTTTATAATATTATATAATAGTATAGACAAACTCACATTCCGTCTTAAGTTAAGTCGTACCATTGCTCATTAGCCGAACAATGTTTATGCCACAACCGGCGTTGTGACATGGCTCATAGCTTAAACCACAATTGTTAAAACCGGAACGCATAAGTGCTTCGCGGCAGAGATCGGCATAGAGATATCGAGCTAACAATACGTATCAGTAATATGCTAAATTAAAAATTGTAAAACTCCAAGTAAAAGCACTGGTGGTAGGACCTCTTGTGAGTCACTGGTGGTAGGACCTCTTGTGAGTTCGCACGGGTAGGTACCACCGCCCTGCCTATTTCTGCCGTGAAGCAGTAATGCGTTTCGGTTTGAAGGGTGGGGTAGCCGTTGTAACTATACTGAGACCTTAGAACTTATATCTCAAGGTGGGTGGCGCATTTACGTTGTAGATGTTGTAGATGTCTATGGGCTCCAGTAACCACTTAACACCAGGTGGGCTGTGAGCTCGTACAATCATCTAAGCAATAAAAAAAAAAAAATAATAATAATAAAGCTGCAACATATCATGACTGTTACTTCGTGCTGCTTGCAATGGAGATTGGCATCAAGAAATTTGTTTTTATCACGTACAGATTTGACCGTTGTTTGTCTACTCTATGATGAAATCTAAAAATAAAGAATCCAGCTTCGAGTAACTTACCTCAAGAACCGGTTAAGCTAATTAAACATGTGATATTACCGAACATTTCAGAGAAGTCTATAAAGGTTTAATGCATTAATTATAAAAGTTAAATTATAAACAATATCATTATTATTCTATTATCTATCTATATATATATAAAAATGAATTGCTGTTCGTTAGTCGCGCTAAAACTCGAGAACGGCTGGACCGATTTCGCTAATTTTCCTCTTGAATTATTTGTGGAAGTCCAGAGAAGATTTAAAATGTAGATAAATATGAAAATGCATGGAATTAAATAAAAATAATAATTTTGTTTTTTCCTTTGATGTGTACCCACCCCGTCGGACGGATTCCTTTTATTTTAAGTTTAATTTTTACAATGTTTAGGTCTTTAATTTATCGATTAGGGCACTACGAAGTCTGCCGGATCAGCTAGTTATTATTATATAAAACATTTCATGCAGCAACCCAAACGATACTATGAAATCTATAAATAAAAATAAAAAATAAAATAAAAATAAAGAGAACAAACCGTACCGACCCAAAACAAAAGTACCTACTAATAAGCTTATAAAACAACTTCGGAATAAATTTTGTCGTCGCCCTGACTGCATAGTATCGAAATCCACTTTAAGACACTCTGAATTTCGTGAAACGAATAAGGCATGGCCGAAAGAAACGTTTTATTTTCTGTTATGTGACAATCAATCAAAGTCAGAAACTCCTAATAACGTATGAAGTCGGACTTTTAGAAGTAAGTCAAGGCTGTCTTTATTGATTCGTTGACACTTCAAATATATTACATAGTTATGGCACAATTGTGTTTGTAAAAAAGTAGTCTCAGACGTTTTCCTGCTCGATGAAGAAGTTCCTTAGTCGAATCCAATTTCAAATCATTATATCAATCATTATATTATTATCTAATTAAAAATTCGCACGTTAACATCCAGTAATCAATACTGTAGTTATGTTTTCATATCATGTGTCGAGTTATTGGTGTGTCTTCTAAAAACGAATTGTTTTTCTTTGTAAGTTTAATATTGCACAAAGGTTCTAGGAATAACTGGATCTATAAATTTTATTTCAGTTAATTGGTTATTATTATTCAGTAAAATGGCATGAAGGCAAACAAAAAACACATGAACATGAGGAGTTTGCCCACGAAGCCCTAAAAGAAATACGTAAAAGCAATGAAAATAAGTAATTTTAAAACTGCAAATCTTTAAATAGTTTTAGCAATATAATATTAGAGTAATGTTTAATATATTATCACTAATTTAATATATTTTGGTACAGCACACAATTTAATTTTTTGTAAACTGTGGTGACGCTGAGTTTTGTAAGAGTAGACCTTCATCCGTTGACGAAACCTAAGCAAAGTATTTATGTTTAGCTTGTTGGATAAATATTGTTTTTCGCTTATATTGGGGAGCTCACTGTCGATTCGGTTTCGTGAACGGTTCTTTTACACCATATAAGGGTTGTTTAGAAAACATTTCCGAGGTCGGAGTAGGGTAAAAACTACTTACTTACTGTATACGGAAAATGACGTAAAGGATTCGGTCTCACCCTCTTTTATCAGATCGTAGATTTCGAGCGTCAGTCCACTTTTAATCGCAAAATAGATAAAGAGAGAATATAATAGAAGAAGAAAATAGAAAGAGAGATAGAAATAGAAGAGAGAGAATAGAAAGATATAATAAAAGATCACAATCCCAAATTCCGTGTGAACCTGGCGAGCCCGGAATTTGATTCATACATTACGAAATACACAAACGAAAAAAGAAATATCCTAGTTTTTATTTGAACTAGTGGCCCCGCAGTAGTCGAGATTCGACTATAATTAATTGAAATTATAAGTTTAAACATTATTATGATTCTATTGTCAAACACTATTATATTAGTTAGATCAATAATATTAAAGACAAACATTATTAATCTATTTTCAATTCGACTGTGGTTTAAACAATAACAAAAGTTTTTCAATTGACAGTAAACAAAGAGTATATTTTTATGTATGTCTGTGTCAAATACATGGTACATTTTTGGAAAAAGGGGTACAAAGTTTTTGCTTCACGTATTAATATATAGAATACGTCATAACCCGGACTAGTTGTTATTGTTCGATCGTCGGACATATTGCCGGGTAAAAACACCAGGGACATCTTAGCAATTTTCGATGAATTCTTAAAACGAAAACAATGCATACAATATGATCTGTGATTTATTAGGTACAAATTATAATAAATGTAAGTTGTATATTATTATATTTACTTTAAATTACTAACACTTTAACTTTATGTTAGTATTATTAGATAGATGTGGCTATAAAATTAAACAATGTGTTTGATATGATTTTATTTAAAAAGAGTGGAAATTAAAAACTGAAAAAAAAAACATTGTAATATTATATAAGTTCTTGTTTCGCGTTCTTTTATTGAATATTATAAATATCATTTTTTGACACAGGTTTTGTTTTCAATTTTGCTTTTTTTTAGTAATCAAAACCAAAAATCAAAGGATATCAAAATTCTCAGACAATAGCAGGAGAGCAGAGCTTAAAAAACAATCTTAGAATCGAAAATTACAATATTTACTAAATACGTTTAGTTACATATTCATTTATTAATATTTTTAACACGTATACCTATACATATATAAAAATAGGAAGCGGAAAGTAAATTCAGGAACCATTCAATTTAACACCTCTATATTCGGATCCACTGATAGCCAATAGGTAACCTCTATATCACTCAAATGTCAAACAGATAATTGGAATTCGGTTGG